GGCTGGCGAGCACCGGCTTATATCATTTTGCATTGTCAATGGAGACCGGTAAGTGTCACCAACGACAACTTCCATCGCAATTCCAGTCTTTTCGTCTACATGTCCTGATGTGCTAACAAAAAGAACACAAAGGGTTCCCAGCAGCAAACACGGCTCCCCCTATCCTATGCCGCAACTCCCGCTCGAACATCGAGATACAAGACTTTCTTGTCATGGGTTGTACCGTCTTCCTTCTTGACCGCGACGACCTCTGCTTGCCATCGATTACAATATCCAAGGCCCTGAGTCCTTCAACAACGTCCCAAAATTCCGTCGACGTGGCAAAATATCATGGTCCAATTTCAACGCCCTTTCCTTGCTATCCGTTTCCGCCCGTGCATCGCCTTCAATCACTGGCTCCAAAGTAGGCTTTCCAGGACATCTTCCAGTCGTCAGGGCTGTCATGGGCCGGCCAGACGGGTCATGCCTTACCAGATAAGCCGCATGGGTACGAGAGATATAATTGGTTGTAGACTAGATAAGGAAGAGTGAGTCCGTGGCACGGCTGGCCCTGGGAGCATATCTCCTATCGTCAGCCGCGCACGTAACTCTTACCTTTTGTTTTATTCTTTAGTCGTAAATTCTATGTTGAACGTCAACGAACGCTGCAGCCCTGTCTCGCCGTTACGTGCCTTCACAAGGACAACCATTTGCGCTCTATGTTAATTGGCCAATGGACCGACACTGGTCGTAGATGTTGCGTCCTGTGAGAGCAGCCAAAAAATGCTACTGACATTTGCCGAGGCCACGGTACCTCCACACATATCCACCTTTACCTCAAACAACGGTGGTGGTGACCCTTTCCCGGCCTTGTCGAAGTGCTCCTATCAGTCTTAATATATATTTTATATAATGTTATCTTTATAACGGATCTACGGGTCTATCTTATATCACAAGAGTATAAAGATTTATATATGGGTAATATATATTATACATTAATACTCGATATTTTTAGTTGGAATTATTTGAATTAATTTGAATTTATTCGAATTAATATCCAAGGTTCAAATTCTATTCTATATATAACCCTAACTCCGACAGAGAGTTGTGACGAACGGCAGTCTGATCTGCCTAAGTGGGATAGTTTGAAGGTAAAGACTATCAGTGCTGTTCGGTGAAGCCAAAGGATTCACAACAAGTATGCTCGTAATACTGGTCTCGGGTGATAATGATCTATTGACTACTGTCGAACTATCTGACAATCTGAGTTCTCCCGTAGTCCCTTTATACCTGCTCGCCCTCTGCGAGATATCTGTCTCCGGATGCTCTTGTCGAGCCCCATAGGTCTATCTAGTGTGTGGTGGCTCATCGTGAGCAGTGGCTCACCGTGAGCAGTGGCTCATCGTGAGCAGTGGCTCACCGTGAGCAGTGGCTCACCGTGAGCCCGTTACACGAGTGAGCCCCATGCGTGTGCCTCTTTGTCCTTGTTGGCCTGGGAGGGTGACACGACCTAACCCGTTTAGGCCGGTTGTGCTACCGGCGCTGTGGTTGGTCCGTGTGTCCTCATAAGTTCGTAACAAGAGTGCGTGGATGGCCTGGACCCCACTGGGCGGGCCCAGAATAGAACCGTGGCGGCCAAACCGTTGAGGTGGCTTGACCAGGGTAGACAAGGACCTTTGTTAACAAAGAAACCCTTTGTCTTTTCAACCTCGAAAAACCTTTCGACTTCGAAAATAGATTTCTTAGTTGTTTTCAACTGTACGGGACTAAAGAAACTATCTTTAGATTTCTTGGAAGACAATAAATTCAACCGCGCAGTTGGATTGTTTACTGAACAGTTTGGAGGCCCAGAAAGTCCATAAGAAGGGAGGCCCCCTTGGAGGAGAGAAAAGATGTTAGATAGCTAAGCAGACACTCAGCAATAACACTGCCATTCTTACACCTACACACACATACGCAGTACCATTCTATTTGTCTTTGAATACTCTACACACAAATGCCTTTAGCTGAACCGGTTTTTTTTTTTACAAATCCACCATCTTTTTTCACCCAGAAAGATTAGATTATTTCTTTCTTTTCATCTTTCCTATCGAATACGAATCCCAGATCCTCGAAGGCCTTTTCCAAGCCATCCTCTCCGAATATGAGGACTGTAGCTGAACATCCAAGTTCAAGCTGTCCATGAGTTGTTTCATCTGGTGGAGCAATGTCTCGTGGATAATATTTGAATTGTTGGGGAGTTGGCAAGAACTACTCGGTCATGCATGCACATGCAGCGTCAGTGCAAGATCGTACCTCCCCTAGGTAACTAACCGAGCACAAAAACCCCCATTCCACCCTCGTGAGAGATCACGATCAACTGCAATGCGTACCTCTATCTATTTGTTTGGATATAGCCCTCACTTGGATAAGTCAACGACTTATACTTGTTTTCCCGGCCCACTTGTCAATACCTAGAGGGTAGATGATCTTCATCCCTCCCTTTCCACCAACCAAAAGGCAGTTTCTGACTCCATAACCGCTATCATTACGGCATGAAGATCCATGGCCCCATCATCTGAGTCTTCTGGTCGTGGTGACCTTTTCAGATACTCCCTGAAAGGCGCGCCACCAGGCCCAAAGCGCAACTCCCAAGAATTGAAATCCCCCTTGATTTCGAACGCCCGCTCACTGGGCCGTGTATTCTTGTTTTTGTTCTTCACCCCATTGATTTCCGCTAACCAAGCATATTGACCTTTCGCCAGGAGCCGGGAGTGCACGTATGCCCAACGGTCCTTGAAGCCCGGGAATTGTTCGCAGGGCTTACCACCTTGACATAAACGGTTATCGCAGCGGAGGCGAATTCGGATATAATAACGCTTTACGGGCTTGTTAGTAACGTTTCGTTACCTTTTTGATGAACCAGACCCGAGCTACTTACCTTCTCTATCGGTACCCCTTTCGACGATGAGCATCCCATGGTGTCTCGGGTATGGCAGCAGCCAAAACAGTATGTGTGGTAGAGGTGCTGTTTGAAACAAGGTGCGTGTTCCAAGACGTAGGCTTATATGGATGTGTATAGTACCCCTCAAGCTTTTTGTGTCTTCGATGGATGTGTTCGAAGTGGTGAGCTGGTCTGTGCCAGGTAGCTGATGAAGCGTAAGAAGCCCATTATAACTAGCCACAGGATTGCCGCCGTCTAGGTACGCTGCGCGCCATTCTCAATTTTTTGTTTTTTTTTGTTTTTGCGTTATTCCCAACGTTCGAGTTCCATGAATGGTTTCGTATGCTTCGTTGGTCATGACGGGCGCGTATAAACATTGGAAGACCCCATGGAGTGACCATACTGATGATGAAAACGTGGGGAGAACCAACAGAGCTTTTCCACTTCGTATTATTTGTGGATGGGTGTAGCTGAGTGAAGGGTCAGGTCAGTCTGGGCCAGGTCAAATTGCAGAGGTCGGAGAGGGACAAATATATTGTTATTCGCCCCTTCTGTGTTTGGTAGATACATATCGTGACCCGCGCTAGAGGGACGTTGAGTTCACTTCATGCTTCCCTCCCGCCCACCAATCTTCTACCCCAACTCTTCAACTGGGCTGACGTAGCTCACAACCTACCTAGCCCCTGTATCGGGGTATATGTATTAGTTCCCTGAGCAGGTTCTCCGTGGCAAGCTGAATGATGGCGCAGTGTGCCGTAAGTACTGCCCTGCCCCCACTTCCCATTGTTTGACCCCCGGCTCTCGTGGACGTTGTGCGTTCGAACCCGGTAGCTGCAAGTCCATATTCTTTTTTGCCCTTCTTCCCTTTCTTCTCATCAATGCCGAGTGTATGTTATAGTGCTTATGGGGAAATCTTTTTAGTTTCTTTTCCCCCTATTTGTTTGCGGAACGTAGAGCCGTTTATTCAGGCGGTATCACAGTTTAACTCTTCCATAGGTGGAGTTGTGGGCAAAGTGGAAGATTGAATTGATGGGAAGTTGGCAAGGACTGCTCGGCGTACATGATTCGGCACATGCAGCGTACATACAGGATCGAACCTTCCCCTACATGTATCCATAATCAACGTCAACTCTCCACTACCCAACTGACCGAGTACAATAGAAGCAATCTATTCCGTCCCTACAAGTCCACGGGTTCGCGTAAATCAACGAACTTGGCGTTTTTCTTGTCCACATCCTGCAACTCGAACCGCGTTGGCCTTCTCATCAACTTCACGTTACCGGAGCCGGTCAGCGTGCGCATCAAGGAATCAAGATTCTTGGCCCTCTTCTCGCCATTGTTCGCCGCCGACTCTGGTGTCTCCTGAAAGTTCCTGAGCTGATTATCAGCATTGAAATCGAGTCCTCCATTGCACAGCGGACCTTTGAGCAAGAAGACCCGTTCCTTCAGAAAAAGATTCTGTTGCTTTGCTTGTTGAATCTCCTTGATCCAAGCATCCGTCGGATTGGTGGCTTTGAGCAGCTCAGAGTCCACGTACGCCAAACGAGTATCGAATTTTGGGCAACGCCGACATTCTCCATAGTCACCGCCCCGTAGATACTTCTTGCCCGGAGTACGCGGGTCAGACAGTCCAGTACATGGATCTCCCATTTTGCACCTTAGATAGGTGCAGTTATCGCAGGCATTCTCAACTTATACGCAATACCGCGATCCCTATGAGCTGTTAATGAAAATCCCTTTGTGTTGCCCCATGGTGATGATCGTAGGACGAGTGCATTACCTCTTTCTTCTTGTCCCTCTTTCCCGCTGTTTTATGTTTCGAGTATGAGCTTCCCATGGTGTCTTGACGATGACAGAGATGCGCTTAGAGTTGACTTTTTTTTTTTTTTTTTGTGGACTTGGATGCGTATGGTGCGTGTAGGCTGTCGAGCTTGTAAATTCTTGCCATGTTTGGGCCTCAAGTGGTGATCTTGTCCCGAGACGAAACCATTGGGAGCAAACCAACCCATTATATAACCAGCCAACAGGCGGCTCTCTAGAACCTTGTGGTATCTGCAACGAGCTGGCCCGCGTTTGTTTGTTGGTCACTTTGGCGCATATGGATGTTGAACCCTGTGAGAATGGCCAGTATGTTGGTGATCAAAAACTTGGGGCGGCATAGCATTCTTCTACCCCGGGCCTTTTTGTGACTTCGGTTGGTTGAGCGAGGGGTCAGACCTAAGGAGCAAAGAAACCGTCCTTGAGCACTTGACCTCTGGGTAAAGTAAATAGGTAGCCGCCTGAACTCGGTTCCAGCGGGAAGCTGCAAAGGTGTTTCTTTGATATCAGATACTTGGGGCGGGAGTCCGGTTTGAAGGCGAGCATTTTAATAGCATTAACTGTTGTCCCCTGTCTACGGACTCTCAGGTAGTTCGAACTTCGCGTTGGACATGTGTGGGTAGACAAGAGCTCAAACAAGGAAGTGCATTATTCTTTCACTCCGTTGATTGCCAATACCAATTCCCTGCTGATAGTTCCGCTATACCTCTCCTTCCAACCTGAACGACTTGATAAAACTGCTAGGTGCCTGCCCTGAGCTCAAAAACAAGAGGAGAGAGAGAAAGTCAAAAAGAAGGAGGACCGCGACGACAGACAAGGATAATGTCACACGGACATTCGCCGGTGACATTCATCAGTCAAACTGCCGACCGGAATTACCGACAGAATGCCACACGGACATTCGCCGGCGACTTTCATCAATTAAACCACCAACCGGAATTACCGACGGGCAACTGGATGAAGGCTGGCATTCAGAAGATCTACTTGTAGGCAGATGAACTAGATAGACTCGCGCCAATGCCTGGCACACAGGGCTCGGTACGTACCAACCTTCTTTGGTATAAGAAGGCCTTAAGGCCCGACCTTCTCATGGAGGCTGAAAGGATCAACAAGGCCTTCGAGACCAAAGTAGTTTATTAGCTGAATTGAACTACTGTTCCAAGCCCAGAACACTGCCCTTGTCACAGATAAAAAGGAACCGCTGCCCTCGCTCCATAAACAACTGGATGGGTAAAGGTATAATACCCTTTCTACCCATATATTAGTGGGCAAAAACCCAACATTGTTCATGTCGGCCGATGACCAATAAGTCCTAACCCCTAGGCACGCGTATCTTTAACGTAGCCGGACAAAAGAGTCGTTTCGATATTAGTAAATCCACCCAATCTGATCATGAGTTCCTTAATTTCCACCGACTTCGCTAAGCGGTCTTGATCACCATGCTCCTCCACTTCGTAGCCAGCTTTCGCAATAAAGTTCTCGACCTTCTTTTGGATAGTCGGTACACCAGGTTGAAGCCCGCACAAATTGGTCGAGAGCATAAACTCAGGCAGCTGAGAAGTAACCGTTTCAGAAGTGACCATGTTCCGGGGGTTCTTGAGACAGCAATCAGCGAGAGATCCCCCCCAGCTGTCAATGTAGCTCTCGAGTTGACCATGGTATATGTGTGCCCTATGGCCATTGGTAGACCCAACAACGAATCTTTCACAGTGTTTAGGATTACCAAAATGGTATTTGTTTGCGCAGTGAAGTCGGACTTTAAAGGTGTATGGCTTTCCCTTCCATTCGAAGGTTCCTCCTGCTTATCTGGCTGTTAGCATCGGGCTTGATGAAAAAGGCAGGATGCGCTGAAACAGTAGGTAAGGAACACTTACCTCTACCTGCTCCTGTTGGGATTCTCGCTGCTTCTCTTTCTTTTTCCTACTAAACAACGGCGACATAATGACTCTTGCGTGATGGTGCCCGATAAAATAAATGACTGAATGCTCTTGAGCTGGTTAGGCTCGTGCGTTGAAGGTGGTTGATTCGTGATGTGGTTTGCCGGTTGAGTGTCTCTCCTGGTGAAAGGGCGATGATGAGAAGTTGAGCGTGAAGTGAACCAGCCCGGTGGGGACGTCCCAAGCCCCTTTTTAAAGCAAGAAACCGGTTACAAAATTATGCGCCATGCCCACTCCCAATGTTCCAACTGGGCAGAATGCTCCAAGAAACCGTTGGAATTGAAAATGCTGTTGTTTGCTGTTGGTAGTTATGTCGGCGCATATGTACGGATACTGGAAACCAGCCGTATGGTATCCATTGCATTGTATCAGTTGGTACTCGACATCTTTGAGAGCGCTAGTCTTGCTCTTCTACTTTGTTTTCTTGCAGAGTCAGTTCTGTGTTGGCTGAGCGTTAGGCTAGACCAAGTCGCAGTAAAGGACAAAGAAACCGCTCTTGGATGGAGGTACCTCTGGGCAGGTACCGCCCCGGGCTCAATTCTAACTGGAAGCGGCACATGGTTTTCTTTCATGTCGGGTAGTTGGCAGTTGGTCTTCGTTTTGTTCTAAACCTGGCGTCATTACCTCGATCGGATTACCTAGAAGCGGGAATGGATTGACACGAGTTGGGCCGTAGGAGCGCTTACCTTGGAGAAGATATGAGCAATGTAACTTTTGCGATTTAGGTACATGTTCCTCGCAACGCATCAAGACGTGACTAACCCCCTTAGCTGCAAAGTGATCGAAGTAATTGAGGAAACCCTCATGAACTAGAAACTCTGCGTCTTCATTTCTGTCACAGTTACCATGAGGTATATCGGCACCATATGATCCGAACCCGTCGCGATGTTCAATCACTAATTCTCCTCTATCTCTAAACAAGCAAAGATAAATTTCAACCTAATCGCCCTCATCGGTGCTGAAATTGCTGTGAAGAAAAAAAAAGAAAAAAAAAGAAAAAGAAGGAAAAAAGCAAGGGTGAATCACTTTCAATCCTCTGATACCGAGATGACTAAAGTTCCGCTCCCCCCACCACCGTCCCCCTCGTGCACAGCGCAGTGAGCTCCCTCGAGCCACTTAATAAGATCATTGTAACTCAATCGACCGACTCGCAGTAATCGACGAGTCGGACTACCATCCGCTAAATGCCCATATTGCTTCTTGTTGCAAAAATTGGCTGCCCGCAGCTCAATGCAAGGAGTTTTCGAAGAGGCCAAATACCTCTTGAATTTTGTTACTTGGTCTCAATCCGTTCTCGCCCCCTCGTTTGCCAACCAGGCATGTTGGCCGGCACGGAAAACTGCCACTCAGCCCCCGCAAACTGCCACGCTTGCCAACACTCAACGCCATCATATCTTCCTTTACATTGTGCACAAGGAGCATATACAACCGCTTCGGGCATTGGCTTGTTATCCTGCTGGGATGTCAAACTGTTTTGCTGTCCGGAAGACGGATTGCTTTGCTGCCGGGAACGCTTGCGGTTATTCTGCGACCGCTCAATTATCGGTTGATGCTGCTGGGGATAGGCTGGATGATAATTTGAATGTGGCAGCTCACCCCTAGGTGAGTGATGCTGCTCCTCCCGTATCGGTAGAGACCGCTGCTGCTGGGGAGAGAACTGCGAATAACTTGGCGGCACATCCATTATTGAGAGCGGCTGCTTCAAGTCCGTGTCAAAGATAGTATACTGGCTGGGATTGGGCTGATGCGGCTTTTTATCCATTGTGTACACCTGTTTGAAGGCCGGGGTATTGCTCTTCATAGGGATGTACGGATTTCGGCCGGAAGCTGTAGAACTGTAGGCAGTGACAAGCCTCTCTTCCTGTTTTCAAGTTAGAGGAAGTCGCGCTAGTAACCGGGCGATTGCAAAGAAACACTTGCCTTATTTCTTGAGCCAAAACACATGATATTAGAACAGAGGTGTATTGATGAGGTACACCTTCTTGCGTTCTGTATCGCTGGATCTCGAGTTGAAACCGGTCGTCAATATCTTGGTTGTCTACAACACCGGACAAAGAGCAGCAAGCCCATTATAAACCGGCCAGCTGCTCGCCAGTGAGTTCATGAATTCTAATTCTATTGTTCCAGTTATTCCGGTTTCCGCTATGAAGATAGGGCCATTGGTAATCTCAGCGCACCACTGAAAGAGAGACGCAGCGTGGCCATCGTTGTGTGTATCGTGTTGGTGGTCGAAGCAGAGTAGAGCGCTAAAAGTTTTTCTACCTCCATTTTTCGGTCTCTGCCCACGTCAGATGACCTGTCGTTGGCAAGAACAATGGAGGCCTGTTGGGGAAGGAAAATTTGGGAAGTGGGATATGATGTCGCGAGGACAGACAAAGGAAGGAATGCTTCTAGTACATGGGCGCCCAGACCCACCAAAGCGCGTAGGTTCCGGGTATGGTACAAACGGCAAGCGCCTTCTCCGATATCCGGTACTTGGGGCAGAAGTCAGGTCTGGAGCTGGGATCTAGCTCCGCTACACGAGGACGGTTGAATGGAAGGGAGGTTGAGGGAGTTCTGTTTGCCTTTCCAGAGCTGACTGATTCCCTGTGCTGTTTACCGGGACGAAGATTTTCCCAGACAATGTCAGATCCAGCATTAAACGATACCCGATTACAATTTAACAATGGAAACGCAATAATAATTCAATGGCAACGCCATTCCGCCCCTCCTCCTCCTCCTATGAATCGACTTCCTGCATATGTTTGAGTCCGACGGGGACACCAAAACTCAACTAAGTGATACGCTCTCCTGCTAAACTACTACCTAGAAGCCATGGAAAATAACCGCTTGTGCTCCCCTCCTTTCTCAAAAGGCTAAGTGTACCTGCCGAGATCAACATAGAAAACACCCTTTTCCTCTCCAGACGTCACCGAGCATTGAGGTTGAGATGTTCGAGAAAACTCGTCCAACGTCTTCATCAAACCAATCGGATCATTGCGTTTGTAAACAAATGTTCAAAGACGATCCGAGTGTTTTTCAGTGGCTTGTCCCGTAACGGCAAGTGGCGATCATTGAATGCCTCGCAGAAATTGCCTTTGAACGCAATGCAAGGTTTTTCTCGTGCTTTAAATGTCTTTTCGAGATAGTCAAGCAACTGGTCCATGCCCGGCACGTGCAAGTGATCTTGGATGCGGTCGCCAGTCATGGAGACTTTCGCCTGGGGAATCACCCACAAAGCTTTTCCCGTACACTTTTTACAGACACAGGAAGCATATACCAGCGGCGCGTACGCTGGTTCCCTGAATTTATGTTATGTTTGTTGTCAGAGAAAGCCGCACTAGGTATATAAGTAACCGGATGTTTGCAAGGAAACACTCACCCTTCTCTCTATAGCATGTTTCTCTTCAGCAGACGATGAGTTCCCCATGGTGGCTTCGGTATTGGAGTGATCAAGAGACAATTTTCTCTCTTTCGTTGCGCCTTGTCCGGATCTTGAGGCGAAACCGGTCGTGGAATGTGATGATTTTCTTTCCTGGTGGCTTATCTGGATCTTGCATAAACGGGTCATCAAATCTGATGCCCTGACTTTCCCAGACAAGACCGGTACGAAAGCAGCAAGCCCATTATAACGCCGTAAGATGCGCGCCAGTACGCTCACCAATCCTAACTCCATTGTGCAGCGGTTCAGTGTTCTGACGACGACAATGGTTCTTGTTGGTTATTTCGGTGCATCGGCACTGAAAGAAAGATGTGGTATGGCCATCATTGCGTTGACTGTGTTGGTTATCGAAGCAGAGCAGAGCAGAGCGCTAACAGTATTTTTCACTTCTTTTCCGCATCGTTCTCTGCGAAGTTCATATGACTTGGCGTTGGGAAAGAACAATGGTGAGGCGGGATGGTCAGGGTCTCGAGGACTGACAAAGAAAGGAGGCATCCCTCAAGTAAGCGCCCGGGACCGGAGTCGTGGTTCCGACCATCATGGAATTAGCAAGTACCGAGCTTTCTTTGATGTCCAGTAAATGAGGCGGTAGCTGGGTCAGGCAAGGGAGTTGCTGACATTACCGAACATTTTCTAGACCATGTCACATTCAACGAGACTCGATGATAATGTGCCTGCATAACAGTAGGTAAAGACTAAACCAAACCTCAACGCCTTTCCCCCACGCCTATCTCAAAAACTAAAAATACTGCCGCATGGTCCGAGTTTGTTGCTAACCTCAAGACACCAAAACACGCAAGTCATCCTGTCAGCTAAACTACCTACCCAAAGGCCAATCAATGGCCGTTCAGTTGCTGTTCCCTTAGGTATTACTTCCCCGAAGGCACCCCGTTGAAAATATGAATAACAAGAACCCTTTTCCCATCTCTAGTCGAGATTTCCTCCCTACACTCCGCAAGAGCATACTTCTGGTTCAGTTGCGTAAGGAACTTCGCTGCATTCCTTTGACCACATTGCACTTCGGCACGAATCTGCAACGCACCAGGAACAATACCAATTTTCTCCCGCTCCTCATCCGGCTCCAGGCAGAAATCGCCTCTCAGCTCAATGCGGGACTTTTCGTGATACAGTCTGAGGTATCTCAGCAAGTCGGTCATGCCCACCGTCGTCGGCAAATGGCTCCTCATGTATTTGGAAGAAACCGCAGCTCCGTAGGAACTTTCACTCATCCATGTCTTATTCGTAAACCGACACTGTTTATCTTCTATCCAATGTTGACAGTGAGTGCAAATAGCAGACACAACCGGCGTATACACGGATGGATCGGAGTGACGGAGCAACTCGTTGATTTCTCTTTCTCTCGCGACTTGTCTCGCTATTTCTCTTTCTCTCGCGACTTGTTGCGATATTTCCTGCTGTGTTTCTCAAGTCAGAGAAAGCTGCGCTAGTAACCAGTCGGTCGTAAAGGAACACTCACATGTCTCGCTTCACCCCCCTTTCCTCCAGTGGACATTCCGCAACCCATGGTGGCTTTTGTACCTAGTGTCGGTGTAGATCACGGTACAGTTGCTTCTTTGTGTCTTTCTGGAACTCTTGAGTTCAAACTGGTCGTGGAGTATGGTGACTTGGATTCCCAAACAGCACAAGGCCTGTGGGGCAGCAACAAGCTCATTATAAACCGGGAAGCTGCTTGCGCGGACCTGTCTCCATGGAGGATTGAATCATTTATGTTCCTCCAACTGCTCCAACAACATTGTATGTCTTTTAACGACAACATAGTTGGCAGCCCGGCCTCGTCTTGGTGGTGAAAGACGAGTGCGTGTGCCGTCAGGGCGTTGGCTTGGTATTGATAATGGAGACGATGTGGGCGCTAACTGTATTTTTTCCACTTCACTTCCTCCTTCCTCCTTTTCTTCTGTGAGTGAGTGTCATATGACATGGCATTGACGAGAACAATGGCGGCACCGGGCGGTGAAGGAAGACTGGGAAAGGCGGGAGACGTGGAAGGAGAGGAGGTCGCGAAGAAGGTCAAAGGAATCCTCCTCAAGTAAGCGCCCGAGGAGCGGCACCTGGCTTTCTTTGACGTTCAGTAGAACTGGAACAGATACGCACAGTCCAGGGCCTCACCGCATGGAAATGGCATGACATCGTTGCAGCTGGCTTGAACGTAGTTGTCTGCCGAGTCTCTGCCGATACGCTCACTTGAGCCACATCCAACTGAACTACCGGTGACAGCGGTTGAGGTCTAGCAGATAAATATCCGACGTAGGGGGTCGCCGTGGACCAGGATCCGGAGAGGTTCGCATACATGACGGGGTAGCAAAATAGGCGCTGAAGCTATTAAACGATATCAGTCATCACGTTTTCATTGTTCGAGAAAGAACCAGGGCAATAGAACTTTCCAGGCTCACAGGGTCCTTGACAGGTAGTTGGCAGTTAGTTGTTGGTGCGTTGGGGTTGGTAGTCCATTATTGGCACACCCCTTATCCCGTCTTTATCGAACTGTACCAGGTAAAATGGTCCCAACGCCTAGCCCAAGACGGTCTTACCGCAGACCCATGCAAGCTGTCGAGGTATAACGCTTTTCATATGCCGGTAACCTACCAAACGGCCGCTTGCTCGAGATGAATGAGGTCGTGGGTGTACCGGCGCGATGGTAGATTCAGACAATTCCGCGCCACTTGATTTTCGTGGTTTGAATCAGTAGCTGTTGGTCAATGGTGATGCAAGCTGGGCCGGGAAGAAGAGGTATATGTATCGCTATCATTTGTAAACAATATAAGCCATTGCCTGAATTCGCTCGAGATTGGCGAATGAACGGACGCCCCAACTCCATCCTTCCGGAGCATGTTACACGCTCGTTTATTAATGTCCATATCCTTGTCTCATCATCGTTGGTGAATGCTTTCCCCCATCTCTCCTCATTCTTGAGTCCCAATCCGCAGCTTGATGGTTGGTTTGTGGAGCCAAATGGGACTCCTGTGGACCGAGTTCGACATCCTCGAAGACCAGTTCTCGTAGAGGCAGGATTTGCCCATCGGTCATCCCAGGTAGTTCCAGCTTCGTGGTCGCTTTGTATCTGAATTTAGTGCTGGCCTCGTCCAGGAACTTCAAAAGGGCCTCTGGCGTGACTTCATCTGACTTGGCCGTGCCATCGCTTTCGGGTGAGACTTGGCGAGTGTCGCCGTCCTCAGGTACTACTGTGTTCGCATCGTCATCGACTAACTCCTAGCTGTTCTTCGAATGTACGCTCTTCTAGTCGTCCTCGGGAGGGAGTTCATCGTCGATGTAGCGTACGAGAGTGACGCGCATCTCGGTGGTATCGTTGCCCCTGAGCACGTCGCTGATGAAGTGGGTCTCGACTTGCATTTGTACCATCTCGAGGGCGCCCCGTAGTACACCGCAGAGGATATTTGAGAACCAGAGCTCGTCTTGAGCCCGGCCGTCATCGGGGAGTTCGACAAAATCGGCGAGGGGGTTCTCGTCGAAAATCAGGGAGAACTGCTTGTTGTCGCTCGTCCAGTTTGTGATTGTCGGGGTGACGTTGAGGAATATCTTGAAGCCGACCTGTGACAAGGAGTGTTAGCAAGAAACAATGCGATGTTGGCACCGGGGAGGACTTGCCTTAGCGATCATCTCTGCGGTTTCACGAAAGTTGGAGCACCGGCGCATCGTGTTAGACTTGGCCAAGTAGTCCTCGATTAGACGGAGACCAATGTTATAGCCCATCTTATCCAGTTGCTTGTTGACCTCGACGTAGTCATTCTCAAAGTCCTTGCATATCTGCGCAACGATGGTTCCGTAGGTGAGGACGACTAGTTCGGCGTTAACTTTTTCGATCCTCGTCCTGCCTGGCAGTTAGCACTGCGAGGACATCTTGGTGTCGAGTGGTCAGGGGCGATCATACTTCCAGATCCTATGGAGTAACAACCGGCCGTTAGCAAACAAGAACAAAGACAAAGACGTCCATTACACGGTTAAGACCTGACTTACTCTTCCCCTAGACGGGATGCTTTGCTTGCTGACATATTGAATGGTGGGAATCAGAAGCTCGGGGGAGCCTCTACGGACTAGATCGTTTTCATAAAACAATACGAGTTCCGTCTGTTGAAAGAGTTGGCGACGACAGACAAAATGATGGGCAACGATGATGTTGTAACTTGCAAGGCGGTGGGTGGGATTGTGCCGCGACAAGACGGGATGGAACTTGGGGACCTCGATGGAAGCTGGAGTGGAAGCCGCGGGCGACTGCCCCGCTGACAGCGATCTGGCTGCCCCGGGGCAGGCACCACAGACACTCGTCGGCACTGAAGCTTTGGGCAGCCGCAAGGGTTCGACTGGGGGAGTTGGGGCCCCACCCACCATCGTGGACCCACCCGCTCAGCCTTCTAGCCTGATCAGGCTTAGCCTTACAGCGGCTCCAGGTGTCGCAGCAGGGAACTGACGTGAAAGTCAAAATCGCCAACTCGCGACGGAGAGCGGGCAATCAAAAATCCACAATTGCTTTCCTCTGACATCAACAATCGGCCTGTTGTATTCATTGCCACTTCGACCACTGCTACGACGACTACCCGAATACCGCAAATCCCACGTCAGACAACATGTCCGCCGAAAAGAGACCTGCTTCCGATGACTCCAGCGGGGGGGGTCAGCTCGTCAAGAGACCCAACCTGGGCTCGAGTCGCGCCCTCACCAGGACCAGCGCGACTGACAACAGTGGTGCCCTTATCCAGACTGCTCCTCGTACGAGCGCCCTCCAGGCTCCGTTATTGGAGCTGTCCGGTCACTCGGGCGAGATCTTTGCGGCCAAGTTCGACCCTACCGGCAACCTCATAGCTTCCGGTTCCATGGACCGGTCCATCAGTACGTCCCACCTACAGATCAGCTTCGGCCATTGACACATCGACAACCACTAACATGTAACGACTACAGTGCTCTGGAGAACCTACGGCGACTGCGAAAACTACGGCGTCCTCAACGACCACAAGGGCGCCATCCTCGATCTCCAATGGTCGCGCGACTCTGAGATCCTCTTCTCCGCCTCCGCCGACATGCACCTCGCCAGCTGGGACCTCACATCAGGCACAAGGATACGGCGCTACGTTGGACACGAAGAAATCGTCAACTCGCTCGACATCTCCCGGCGCGGCGAGGACCTGATCATCAGCGGCAGCGACGACGGAACGATTGGCATCTGGGATCCGCGAACCAAGAACGCCGTCGATTATATCGAGACCGACTTCCCCATAACCGCCGTGGCCATCTCAGAGGCCGGCAACGAGATCTATTCGGGAGGAATCGACAACGACATCAAGGTGTGGGATGTGAGGAAAAAGGCGGTGGTTTACTCGATGATTGGACACCAAGATACTGTCACCACATTGCGGGTGTCGCCAGATTCGCAACAACTGCTCTCGTACGCCATGGACTCGACAGCGAGGACGTGGGATATCAGGCCATTTGCGCCCGCGGATAGGCACATTCGCACGTTTGACGGTGCGCCGCTTGGTCTGGAGCGAAACCTTATCAAGGGAAGCTGGGACAGGGATGGAAAGAAGATTGCTGTAGGTGCTGGTGATGGCACTGTGGTCGTCTGGGAAAGTGCGACTGGCAAGCTTGCATACAAGCTGCCGGGTCACAAGGGAACGGTCAATGTGGCGGAGTTCTCTCCGGGCACTGACCCTCTTAGTAAGTTTATAAAACTCTGGCTATCCTTCGCAGTAACTAACCTTGTTGTAGTTCTCTCTGCGTCGTCCGATAGGACCATGCTTCTCGGCGAGTTGAAGTAAGGAACCAACTTGTCCACGGGAGTTTCGCACAAAAGCCGAAAGGAAAACCGGCACAAAGGAGGAAACGAAGTGCCAAACAGCGGCGAGCACAAGGCTCTACACTATGAGCAAATACTGTTTAAGGTTCAACCGTGCCACGAAGAATTCATCATCCGAAGCAGTGCGGAAACGGCTAGTGTTAACTGTGCAGATTCGCGCAAGTCATTGCCGGCCCCCGACTGGCTACTGGCAGGACATCACGGACTGAATGCGCCGGCAAACTAGGGAAGAAGAAGAGTTTGGGGATGGATGAGGGTACAACACTGGTGGTTCAGCATACCCGGTATAATATCACAAAAGGAACAAGGTCGACGGACGCATGGCGTAAGGAGTTATTTTTACAAGGTGCATTCATCATTCACAACTAGATACCCAGCCTGAATGGAACTGGAAGAACCAAGGAACATCGATCAACTTATGGCCTTCGTCTGCGCAGCGAACGGTATACTATAAAGCCGCCCCCATTGCCATCAATGACAACCATCAACCCGAGGGCGGCGAGGTCACCGAGTAAGTGTCACGACATTCTCTGTTTCCTCAGTTCACAATGTACGCCAATTCCAACCGAAATATATAAACCCAACTATAACACCACCATCCATCCATCCATCTTTTTAGCCCCCTCGAACCCCGAGGCTCCCAATCAACCCATCAACCAATTCGAAACTCGCCTTGGCAATCCCCATCCTGCGCCTGAAACGCCTCACAGCCCTGATGGTCGGGCCCAAGCCTGACCTCTTCGAGAGCTCTCAGCCAATCGTTTGCCGCTCCGCTTACCCCTTTCTGACAGTTCAGGGCCGTCGAGGGGCGTATAAGCTAAGACCCCGTCCAATGAGGAACCCCTGAACAGCATCGAGAAGTCGCAACAAATCATTTGGATATTGGGGGAAAATGTCAAACGGGTGCATGTTATTGGTGTTGAATGACAGATGCAGATGCAAGCTGTAAGGTACCGTTTTTTCGTTCGTTGTGCCTGGCTTTACTTGCTGTGTGTGCTGCAGGAGAGACATGTCACGATTCCGACCTTGAACTCCAATAACCGTCCCCGACACACTTCCGGAACACTTGGTTGGTCTATATGCCTTTTCAGCTACTACGTGTACTTCGGTCAACCTCTCGTACAACCCAAGCCAACACCTCGGCTCCAATCAAGGGACTCGCAAACTGATACAAACCTTATTGTCCCTCGGCCACCCGTCGACCATGGTTCTATGCAAGGGGAAGGCGTCATCGCTTTTACCCCTGCTTCGCCTTTCTTGTCCTCCATCCACCAAAAAAGAATGCTTCCACTCAGTAGGAACCAAAGAAATGATTCGATCAACGCGATCGCCCTCTTGCTCTTATCCTTTTTTCTTCTTCTGTTCCTACTGTTCCTTACCCCTGCATATAAGTCTTCGGCCCCTGGCTCCATGTCGTCTCGTCATACCCAGAGGCTTGTTAACCATAGGATATCAAGCACAGCCTTGTAACCCTCGGTTCCGTGATCCGTCTGTCCCACGCCCACATGGGACTCCAGTCTCCAAGTGTTGTTTCTATCCCTCCTGAAACAAAGCGTATGGTTCGCTGTCGAGGTTTGAAATGGACTGTTAGTACGGAAGTGTGTTTTCCACGTCACGTCAACCTTTTTCTTCCTCTCGCTCTTTTTGCTCCGTCCGACGAGTCCTTCCCTGCCTCTCAAGTCGAAGCTCGAAGCTGTGTAGCCCACACCAGTCATCAAGCTGGTCACACAAGTTGTCAACCTATCAACCTAGCTGGCTAGGATAGGAGCTTTCACGCAGCTGTCGACAGTCACACACTCTTTTAGTCCAGCTATACCCCGGATTCTTCTCGCAGGCCACCTCACGGGCCGCTTCTTGCTCTTTCACTCCCTCTTTCTCTCCTTACCCTTCTTTCTTCCTTTCCTCCTTTCTCTCGAGTCCTACTCACGTCGCCTTCGTGCTTCGATCGAAGTGCAGTATTACCTGTCCATTCCCTTGGTAGCACTGACATCGAGTCCGCTTCTACCCTCTTACCCTATCCTCCATTCCCATCACCTTTCGAATCTGGTATTCGGAAAGAAAGCTTGACCCCCATTCCTTCGTACAACAAAGGCGACGACAGAAGCGACCAAGAGACAAAATACGATCTACAGGCCTGGAGCCGGAAATTTGTTTAGTGATACCCCAAAGATACAGAGACAGAGAAGACAGAAGACATTGTCAGACGAACATACGACACGATAGACGACGATACGAAGCACAGCATGAACCGGGAGTAACGCACACTGTCATTTGAAGAATCAACACAAACCAACATACACAACCATCATTTACCAGGGGCTTCATCCTTCCAAACCAAACTCCAAAATGGACCGCTTCAACTTCCTCCCTCAAGGTCTCCGGCGGAACAACCCTGCCACTGCTCCCGCCGACAGCACCGCCACCACAGCCATCGGCGCAGCAGCCGGCACAGCAACCGGCACAGCAGGAACCGACCCCAATACCAACATCAACGGGCAACCAGCCCCCCTCCCAGCCGTCTACAACCCAAACCTTAGTCAAAACCAAAACCAAAACCAAAACCAAAACCAAAGGGCCCAAAACCCTTATACCTACCCCGACTCCGTCTCCTCTCTATCTTCCGATGACGAGTATACCGACGACGACATGTACGAAGACGACGAAGTTTACTCTGTGTCTTCTCGATCGTCTGATACCGTTCCTTTGTCTCCAAGAAGCAGGCAGCAGCGAGGGCAACCGCAGTACCCGTCAAGCAGCACGCTTAACCACCAGAACCGGGCCCAAAACCACAACGGCCACTCCCAAAACCAGAACCAAAGCCTGAACGACCAAGAAGACCTCTACTGCGACCTCGAAGCCCAACTAGGAATCCATCCCGCTCTTCGTGTCCCGCATCCCGGGCCACAAAACATTCCCGCAAACTTTCCTGCACCACCACCCATTCCGCAGTCACAAGAAGAAATGGCAGAAATTGAACGCCGTTCTTCCTCCCGCTTTTTTCTTCCCAGGATGTCTTTCCGATTTCTCGGTGTAGGAGGAGGAGGTAACAGACCAAGGCCGGCATCAAGTCATTACTCAGGTGATGGGTTGCCGCCTGCTACTGAGGTTAATTTCCCTTCTAGTCAATACCCGGCTTCGCCGAAGAGTCCGGCGTTTAATTACACAATTGGCGAGCAGCAGTTGCCTAGTACAAGACTGCACGTTCCTGGTGTGGAAAGGACTTGGAGTAGGGGGAGTAATGGGCCTCCTACGAGGGATGGTACCAGGGATGGGTCTGCTGGCGGTGGTGCTAGGGTTGGTGGTGAGGCCGGGAGGGGTGAAAGGCAGGGAGCGTCGCGGTACGGATTTGGACTGTTAGGTGGTGCTGGGACCCGAGGAGCGAGTAGAAGTCGAGAAGGAAGGACAGTACGAGTAACTGAGCCCAGGCGGGTGCATACATCTTCACATACAGGTCATGGTGCGAGACGGCATCGAAGCGAAAGAGACGGGGAACGCCGAAGAGACGGAACCGGTAGATCCCGATCCGGCCGTTCTGGCTCTGGATCTGGTCATCACAGTCGTAGCCACCGCTCGAGGAGAGATCCCGGCACGACCACGACGACGAGCAGGAGACACAGAGATGTGCGCGATGATGAACGTCGGAAACGCCGAAAACATAAAAAGAGTACCAGCTCCAGACGACATGAAGGTCACTCGAGGTCTGCAACAACTGCTGCTGGAGAACGGGAACGGGACCGGGACCGCGAACACAGGAGGAAGAAAAGAGCACATGCACATGCATCCTCGCCGTCCGTGTCGTCCCCGCCGAAACATTTCCTGTTCTGTTTCCCGTGGGTCAAGTCGCGGACGAAGAGGGCGTTGATTCTGAGGAGTTTTGTTTCGGGACTATTTTTGGCTTGTTTACTTATTGTTTGTAAGTATCATCTTCCTCACTTACCTCCTCCATCACCACCTACCTACCTTACCTGCCCTTGTACCGTCAACGATGCTAACTTGCCAAAATAGTCCTCGCCCTAACCCTCTCCCACACAATCTCCGCCCAAGAATTCACAATCTCCATGATCCTCGTGGTAATCCTCGGCGCCATCGTTTTTCTGCACAGTGTCGTCCGCCTGATAATGCTGGCATTTAAGGGTGGACGCAATCACAGCCACACCCATAAACACAAACACCACAACGACTTGGAAAGCGGACAGGCCCATGTCCACCATCACGTTCTTGGAAATGGAAATGGACCAGCACCGTATGGAGATATTCACGCCGCCGGCCCGCAAGGGCCCTACGCCATCCCACCCACCCCCATCCGTGTTGTGTTAGCGAGAGATGAGGAAGCTGCGGGGTTACCGAGCGAGGCGGCGGCTGGGGTGGTGAAGCCGCCTGAGTATGGGCAGTGGAGGGAGAGTGTCGTAAGTTCTTTTCCTTCTTTTTGGGTGTTGTGGCAAATGTGCTGATGTGTTTGTGTACAGAGAGTCGACCCAAACCGCATCTACTGGATGCGCAACGAGGCAGTTACCCCTGAACTTCCTCCCGCGGTTCCTCCCGCACTTCTTCCGAGTGAGCATGACCAGGAGGCCGCCGGTGCCGGTCCCGGTTTCGGTTCAGGTTTCGGTTCGGAGGAGGGTGCTGCCGCTCAGTCGAGGTCCAGGGCTGGTAGCGGAGACTCAAACGGCTCTAACCCGGGATTGGGACGTGGAACGGGAACTCTCCGTAGGCCTCCGTCGTATAGCTCCGATGATGGTGTCAGTTATGTGGTTGAGGCGCAACCGAGGTCTATTGCCCCTGTTAGTGATGTACCGGTTGCGACTGGTGGTGTCGGCAGCGGTAGGGCTGGGAGGCGGTTGGCGTGAGAAGTATGAGTACCTTTAGTATAAGAAAGCATGAAAAGAGGACAAGGTGCCGGTGTGAGAATAGCGTTTGGTTCGGGTTCATGTTCCTCTTGGGGTTGTTTGGATATGTGATGTTGGTGCAAGCGTTGGCGCTGTATATTAAACTAAGGGAAGTCAGGCAAGGTGCTATACAATATCAATGCCCTTGCGCAAGTAACAACAAGTATCGCAACAAATTCATGTGTTGACGTATACATCCCGTTCATGTAATTACACGTTCGTTGGTAACAGTTCCCCTAGTCTCAAACAGAATGCTTCAACAATCCCGTGTAGCAGGTACAACCGAAGTTTCTCTTTTTTCCTTGTATCTAATCCAAGTCAGACTGCAGGGCCAGTTCTCTGCCTTACAATCTTCCGGACAAGCAGCAGAAATTTACCAATCATCCGTTATCCTTCGCCTTCCTGGGTTTTATCCCGGCCGTAAAGTACCGCCTGATTCCTTCAACGACATCACCAAAGGGGGAACATGTTCATGTCGTCGTCCTTTTGCTCCTATCGAGAAATCCGGTAATCTGCCTAAATGCAGCAAAGAGCCCGCCTGCATCGCTCGTATATATAGCTTATCTATCTGACTGTCTCTGTGGTGATTAGGCTCAAACCAGAGCCTCTCTCTCTCTCTTTTCTGTGCCTTCCATATCATACCCGCAGTAAAATTCGTTATCATGAGCCTCATAGAAGGATTGATGTCCCCGTTGCCTCCCGCCTGTAAATGCGATAAATATCTCAAAACCACGTTTCACCGTGTCTTCTTCTTAATCATCTTCCTCCTCCCAAGTTTCCTTCCCAATTCTGCACTCGTGGCCCAGCTTAGTCTAAGATAGATGGTAAATGGAGACCAAGTCTGTCATCCCATCGAGTCCGTTATTCCGATGGGATGGCAATTGAATGATCCGGTCCGATTCGACTCGACTGAGTTGGATGTTTTGTTGTCGTACCGTGAGGAGTCGAGCAGACACTAGACAGACAGGCATACAGGCAATGTCTGTCCCGATTCGTTGTTCCGGGTTCATTCCGCCGGCCTGGCTGCCTCCAGCCAAGCCAATTGCTCCGCTAGACTTAAAACATCAACCACATTGACCGTCGTCGCCTCCTCATAAGATGGAGGAGATGATGATGATGATAGAAGCTTCGTTTGGCTCTGGCAGGGCGACGAATGAACGCGGCCACATGCATTACATGGAGCCGGTATCGACAGAAACTGCTGTGAATAGAGACGGACACGGGGCCGAAGGCGTGGTTGTTGTGGTAGAGCTGTAGTTGTGATTCCTATCGTTCCTGTCGTTTCTGTCGTTCCTCTTGTTTTTCTTTCATGACAATATAACAATTGTTTCTGGCAACGCAGGCAGTCGCGTCGGTATCCCCAGTGTATCTCGAGAGGTATCATCGACGGTAAGGACAACAAACTGTTGACCGTCAAGTACATCCAATCAATCAGTGTACTTATTATCGTGGGCACGAGCACGAACGGCCAGATAATAGCCATTTCCATAGTCATCTTGTCATACCTCTCTCGAACTCCTTTCCGCTTTTCCGAAGCATGGTCTGCTGCTGTGTTGATGTCCTGGTGGAGTTGTATGTCATGGAGGTCGATGAAAATCCCCAATAGGCGTTTTATGCGGCTGTTCCAACAGATTCCTACGGCGACAAACACATACATGGCTGCCAATAGGAGCCACGAGGGCGGCCACAGGTAGCCTGTTAGGGATCCTGCTGATGGTGAAGAGGCGACGGGCATTTGTCCGGATGGATTGGCTGGGGCCATTGGGCTTGACAGAAATATTGTTGGTGTTGTGAAAGTGCTAACGAATGACAGCGATTGTAGGCAATAGGCTTGGGTTTGTTTGAAGTGAGCAATAATGACGATGCTTGGATACACAACTGAGGGCTGAGATAAGTCGGTGGGAAAAGAAAGGAGGAGAGAACAATGGAGGAGAGGACGGCCTAGAATAACCCCTCCCATCCCTATAGCACGTTGTCCTTTCTGCAGCCGGACCATAGCACGTATCTGCATAGCAGCATGGACGGGTTTGGAGGCCTGGGGTAAGAGTTCTTGCTGAGTGTCCAAACATGCAAGTTCATGTCTCCTGTATGCCGACAAGAGGCATGAGAAACGTGTAAGCGAGATTCGGGTTAGGGTTCGATACGTGATGGTGTTGAAGTTTGGCGGCTGATTCACCCACTGTCTGTATGAAAAAGTTTGTATAGTCCAACGAGTTCCATATCATTCATAGAGGTGTTGGTGATGTCTCGACTTGGTGAATAAACATATCATGGACGGTGTTGTTGATGGAAGAAGGCATATTTCAGGTCTATGATTGGTTGGCTCCGCTCGGTCGTGTTATGTAAGCTGGCCGTACACTTGTCGCGGCAATAAGACCCCGAACCACCGCAACACCCTTAGGTAGTCTCTGAGCAGCTTCAGGTCTTGTTTGGAATTAATCATTACGATGATGACATTCAATAGAGCCTTTGGTGAGCGCGTGAGGCGTCGGCAAAAGCTTCAGTGAGAAGATTAGCCGGCTCGTAAGGCAGTGTATGAGGCGAACCGAAACGCGGGTAAACTGGGGAAATCTCGGAAGCTGATGCCGAAGGCTTGAAGCCACTCTTTCACCACCTTGTGGCAACTGAAGCGTTGATGAGATCATGAGAAATCGAAACAACGTCGCGCTGCGAGTCATTTCCCACTTGGTAGATTCTTGCCATATGTTGGATGAACAAATAAGTTGAATCCCGTAGTATCGCCGCACTTTTTACGGTTTCCGTTGGGATTTCCATGTGTCTTCTGCGAGTTCGTTACCAAACGTCAACGCCCTGTGACCGCGGCGCCCTGCATGTCGGTTACACAGCTGAGCTTGATATCCGTCAACCGCCCACTTCCCGAACCCTAAGTGTTGATGACCTGCAACTGCCCCTTTTTGAACCATATCATCTTGGTCAAATCTGTCAGAGGGAAGGAGATGTGTACGGCCGCGGGGTTTTGGACAGCCATGAGCGTATTTCAGATCTGATTGGGTCAGAGTGCGAGCGAGGGTTGATGGTGGTTGATCAAAGCTGGGGAGACAGGGAAACGGGACGGACAGGGATGGTTTCCCCAGCTGTCCAGGACCTGCAGCGGGGGTGGCTGTACGGGACGGAATGGTGGCCGGTTGTCGCAAACTGGTCCCCAGTGCCAGTCAAGCCAGTCCGGCCCAACACGTCCACTTTCCACAAAGCTCCGAAACACATGTGAATGACATGTCCAGTCGAGTGGGATTCAAGTGAGAGTAAATGGGTTCGATGACACTGCCGTGAGTAAGATGCTATATCAACAGCTTCACTGTGGGAAGACTCGTTGCCGGTTTGCAGCTCCTCGACATTCCTTCGAAATGTCTCCCGCTAGAAGATGAGTGGAGGAGCTCTCTTGATGAATGCCCCGGGCAAGTCGGCAGGAACCCGAGCTCACTGACACTGGCACCGTACCGAGCTGACACTCACCTGCAGGCACAAGACATGAAGGGTTCCGCCGGCAACGACCTTGGCCTTGCATTCATGTCTTGGGAGAAGATACGATCATGCAAACGGCCTGCCGCCAGCCGTTGTTGGCCGTTGTTCGTATCGGGCTGTTGCCGTCGCCATGCCTCCCGTTGAGGGTCATCGACAAGTGGTCAACGAGATGCTCTTTTGAGGGTGTCCAGTCGCAAGCAATGGTGGCCCTCCATGCGAGCAAAGACGGCAAAAGACGTGGGATGGGCTCTAGCGGAAAAGGGGAGTTTCCGTGTCAGATGTCGCAACGGGCGCGTGTGATTCATGCCCTTTGGCTGCCTGTGGCTAGACTGATGGGAGGTCAGTCAAGGCGCCGGGCAGGGAGAACATCGTCGGTGCCATGCCGCATTGCGACGAGAGTTGGTAAGGGAAGGTGATGGGATGGGGCTTGGCCTGTTCCTGCGAATGAGATGGGGATGTCGGATAAGTGGAGCTCAATGTTCCGAGTCCCTGCCTGTGCGCGGAGCAGCAGCAGCGAGTCACTGTCACTGGAAAGAACACCAGACGCAGAAGGAACGATGGACGCTGTGGACGCCCGAGAGCGGACGAGTGCGTGCGGGCAGAGTGGGGCATGCCAAGAGCTCATCGAGTTTTTTTAGCGTGTGGTTTATCTGACTGTTTCGTTGAGGTTGGAATTAAAAGAACACGACTACCCGTGGACATGATCCATGGCTATGATGCTGAAGGAACTTGGGGTTGATTGTGAGTTCCTCTCCGTCGAGGACCACGGTAGTCGAATAAAAGAGACAAAGAGAGCTGGACGGGAAAGGACAGAATCGAGGAAATTACTGAGCACCACAAGCTGAATGATCAAAGGAAAGCGATAGAGTATCGGGTCCACTCATCTCCCCGAGTCGTCGCCCGCCCGCTAGTGGAAAGAAAGAACGAACACAAGACTCGTCAGCTTCCCCAACCACGGGCAGTTATTTTAGTCATCAACGGGCAAGTTCCACGGGGAAACCGTGGCAAGGGCAGAGAGGGAGGCGCCTTCCCAAAGAACCGAGAACTAACAAAAGCACAAGGCAAGGGGTCTGGGGTACTTGCCAAGTACTTTGCCTCTAAGCACTAGGTTGATAAGAGACCCACGTTTAACCCACGCTTGAGGTAACGTCCGGGGAGGGGGGCGAGGGAGCAGAAGAGGTTCCTTTTATGTCTCTTTCAGCTGGGAAGGTCTCGAGTGCGGTTCCCTGTCTGTCTGGCCGGCCTTTGCTTCAAGTCGTTCGGCGTCTGCTGGTGCTGCTGTTGCTGGCTGGCCAAGAACCTGAGCGCAAGAGGCAGCGCATTGAATGGGGGAGGCTCCAGTCTGACCCAGCAGCAAGCGGGCAGCCGTGGCCCAGTCGTCCACTCATCCTACTTGTTCCGTGCTTTCCGCCCCTCTTTCTCTTTCTTTTCCCTTCCTCCAGCATCGCTCCTTGAAATCACATCACCAGCACAGGGTACGCTTCTCTCTTTGTTCTTTTTTTTTGGTGTTGAAGTTGGTGAGAAGGTTGACCAAGTCGAAGAAGTTGAAGTTGAAAGAAGTTTTGTTGCAGGTTGTCAGAGAGTCTCCGAGTTCTTCTTGTTTGGGTATCTGTCTTCTTTTATCAAAGGTCAGTTCAAGCTTCTCCTCTCTTCTGTTCTTGTCACGGCGCGTTGCGGTGCCTTTGTGAAGTTGCCTCTCGTTGCCGCCATCGACTCTGGTTGTCGTGCCTCAGGTCGCCCGTTTTCCCCCGCCCTCCCTTGTGGTACTACTGCCCGTCAAGCGCGTTGACGACGACGACGACGACGACGACAACAACAACAACAACAACAACAACAACAACAACAACAACAACAACAACAACACCATCGATAACATCGACAAGACAACAAAGACACGAAAACTGGCCGACAAACATACGCAAACAGTCAGCTTTGCTATCGCTCTGGTTGTTGTCGCAAACCATGCGAGCACCTCTGCATACCAAAACCACGGTCCAACCCCACTTTACCGCGCATTATCGCATCATCCGCTAGCACCATTTTATCGAGCATGACTGCGCCTGTAAGGGTTGAAGCTCTGCCTTGTCGTCATACGCCACCACAACCACAGTCGGGCATGGGAAATATGGGTTGCGCAAGCTGAACCGGGTCACGCAAGGCTCTTTGCCTCGCGGTCCAGGAAATGCTTGCGCTCCTGTTTTGGATCGTCCCAAGTAGCTGTTATGGTTACCTCGGCTGTTGGTGTCATCAAATTCAGCGCATCCAACAATCTGGGCGTCGAATCGGCAACTATACCGTGACGGGCAGCGGTGCGACCTACACTCGACCATTTGGATGCACTGGTCACCGCCCGGTCGGACTTAAACCTGTCTTCCTGCGAGACATATGTACAACGATAAGGGCTGGGTGCGGGGCACAGAAACTGGACCAAGAGGCGACCTGTTAAGATGCTGCCACAGCGTCATTCAGCGAGAGTCAGATCTTCTCTAACATGACAACTTCACAGACTCTTTTTATATACATCCACCATCACCATGTCTTCCCTCTCTCGTCGCGCGTGCTACAAGTGTGGTGAGCTCGGCCACCACGCTGAGGCCTGCTCTTCCCCCCACAGACTCTGCTACAACTGTAAGCTATGCACTTCTCTTCCCGTCCCGCCTTCGAGACAAAGTACTAACACTGTGGCACAGGCAAGCAGCCCAGTACGGTTTTCCTGCCCCTGATTGGTAGCCCTTTATCGTGATTCTCTAACCTCCCACCGACAGACCACGAGTCCAGCGAATGCCCTCTTCCTCGCAGCACCGAGGCCAAGCAGTGCTATCACTGCCAGGGTCTCGGCCACGTCCAGGCTGACTGCCCTACTCTCCGCATCAGCGGTGCCGGTTCTACTAGCCGCTGCTATAACTGCGGCCAGCCCGGCCACTACATGGTACGAATCTTCTCAATATCTGACGATCCATCGTATGGCCTTCTGACTTGTTTTCTTCCCACAGCGCGCCTGCCCCAACCCCCCCACTGGCGGTATGCCCCAGCGTGGCGTCCCCGTTGGCCGTGGCGGTTTCGGCGGTTTCGGCCGTGGTGGCTTCGTTGGCGGTGCTCGTCCCGCTACCTGCTACAAGTGCGGCGGACCCAACCATTTCGCACGCGACTGCCAGGCTCAGGCCATGAAGTGCTACGCTTGCGGCAAGCTCGGCCACATCTCCCGCGATTGCACGGCTCCTAACGGCGGCCCTCTCAACACTGCCGGCAAGACCTGCTACCAGTGCAGCGAGACCGGCCACATCTCGCGCGACTGCCCCAACAAGCCCCACACCAACGGCGAGATCAAGCAGGATGACCTGAACGTTAACCACGCTGGCCCGGGTCTCGCTGCTGCCCCCGTTCCCCCCGTTGCCCCTGTTGCTTAGGCAGCTGAACAGACCAACGGTGATGGCAGTCCTCAGACCAACCATGACCCCGGCAGTCGCATCGTCCGTAACAGAAATGTTACAACGAGCGGGTTCTTGTTCTTGGACTATGACTAGCCACCATCACCACCACAATGTTTTATTCCCTTCTTAATACGCTTATGTATGCCTTTACGAACGAATGCAGCGGTCAAAATCTCGGCGTCCACGGTTCTCGATATATACACCATCGGCTTCATGCTCTTTCAGCACAGAGACACGACGGCACGGAAAACAAAAACTTTCAAAATTGGAACGTTTCCTCCACTTTTTATGTCAGCTCACGTAGGCACTTCACGGCACGGTTTTAACCTCTTCACTTGGACACAACTTCATGATACCCCGAAATTGACGAAGCGGTGTGGGTCGACTAGATCAGGCCACTGCGGAGGATGATCTCGTCGTCAGTAGGTTGTTGGAAGGTGGCCCAGGTTTTTTGGAGGGGCGAAGGGCTGGCTCGGTTGAAGGTCCTGTTGGTGGAAACGGCCAGCTCGGAGAAATTTTCAAAAAGAAAGAGAGCGGAGCTTGAGGATGGAAGGCAGCAGGTCTAAAAGCAAAAAGCCCGATGTGTGTGTTATCTTGGGTTACTCATGGGCTTAGGCGAAGAGATGTCAAATCTAAGACGTTATCAAACTACTTGGCGCTTATCATTGTGTGTGTGTGTGTGTCGTGTATGGTGAAGAGAGCAGTAGATGGTACGGGTGCGCAGTGACGAAGCGTTTGATGACGGTCTCTGAGCTGGTCTTCGAGCCTGAAACGGTCATAGACAAGGAGATTTCGTGAGTAGATAAGGAACATGAGAGCATTAGGTTTGATATGCGTTGGTTTCTTGGTTGCGACGAATGACGGTTGCTATCTTTCGAGGCGTGGTCGGTTGTCGTAGGTTACTTATATACACTTGGGGGAACGAGACGTGTCATGCCGAGAGTGAGACGGAAGTAGGCGTTGGATACAGTCATGTTAAAGAAATAAGAGAACCTTGAACGTTTCTGACGATATACGTTGGGAATACCCGGATGTAGCTGACAGATCCGAGGACCACTTACTCATGGTCGATGGGTGAAACTTTTGCTGCCAGCTAGTTTCGGTATCTTACATTTGTAACCTGACGTCCGTCGTAGGATAAAGAATCATTCATTGCTTTAAAACCGAGCAAGGTCGACAGACGCTCATAATGTCTAATATAAGGATAAACTTTGGCTATCGCCGATACGTAAATATATATCTTACTATTTGACTTCTCTCTTCTATATTGGAGTTATGATTTGGGAAAACCAAATAGGGAAAATAACAGGAAGCGAAAAAGAACATTTGGAATGATTGGAAACTAGAAGAATGCCAAGGGGAAAGAAATGCAAGAAAAAAAAAAAAATTGTTTGTTGAAGAATGCCCCCACGCGGGATTGAACCGCGGACCTCATCATATCGCAGATTGGGTAATACGAGTGATGCGCTCTACCACTGAGCTATACGGGCTTTATTGATTACAGTGTTTGAAGCTAGTGAATAAGTACCCCATTCTATTTGCAGCTTTAGGTGGTGAATTGGATACCGGTAAGTTGTGCAGAACATCCGGCAGGCAAGGTCAGAACGTCACTTTTCGTGGACAACATCGACAGTTTCGCAAGCAAATGACTCCCAACTTCCAGTGTTCTCACGCTTGCAACTTCAAACCGCACCTTTCCACTTACGTATCTATGGCATTGTTCTAACTGTCAGCGATTTATGCACACAGAAATGACATGCACAATCCGATCCACTATGGTTGGATCCTGTCTTCACGAACCGAGGAGTCACCCACGACAGAGACCACCGGATGCACCCCAAGCTCACCATAACAGTCTCAGCATGGTCACTTCCTCTTACCGCATGGGAGGAACTAATGCAGTACGCCATTGGAAAGTGTCGGTTTGGTCGGGGAGTAAGTGGAAGGAACGCTTTTGAACCCGAACAAGTGGCTGATTTCTCTTGTCGGTTTTCTCTTACCCGTCGTCCTTTTCCATCGTCATCTCCCTATCCCAGGTCCTATACTTCGTACTACCCGTCTTTTTTATCCGTTTCCATGTCTCTCTGCCTCTCTACAGTTCGCCCATTCTGGTCTTCGCTTCACTAATCTCCTCTTATTCTTCCCGATGACATTTGAGCTTTTTTACTATCAACACAGCAGGGATCCCGAGCGATCTGGTTAGAGCTGTTGTTCCTGTTTCCAACTGGAAAGTCCGCATTAGTGCACCCATAAGTACCTAACATGGAAACACGATGGATACAGTTGGGTTCAGCAACTTGCACATCTTCTCTACCAGCACGGGGAGGAACAAGTGGCACACTCGATGCATGAGATTGATTATGAAATCGCGGGGAACCTAAAAGGGTAGAAGCTGCGCTACGTGCCATGTGGGGTCACATTCAACTGGCTGTCATGGGATGGACAGTGGCAATCCGGAAAGATGTGCTTACTGTTGCTGTTGATCGAAATCTTCCATTATAGGTCGTCTCTGGGTGTTAGTTGACGCCCTTGCCTCTCTGCTTCGACTGCCATGGAAAACACAAGCCCGACATCAACCCCTGAAGTCAAGTCGGTGCTGATACTCCAATGACGCGGATAGCTGTTATATCACACACCAAGAGGAGTTGCTGACGGATGGCCCTTTTTGCTGTCCTCGTCTCCCACTTACACGGCGGCGGCTCACTTGCAATCACTTGAAGCTGCCTCGTGGTTCTTTTTGTGTTCTTAGGGACTCAAGTCAATTACCTAAGTCAGCCAACCCCCCATCCCCAACGATCGGTTCCCTTCAACAAGTGGCAGAGAATAAACGTAGACGGCAGTCGAAAGAGAAAACAAACTAGTATCGGACTGGAGCATTCAAGGCCACCCATGGATCATGTTCTTTCGTTAACTCGGTCTTCAAAATTACTTCTCTTCCTCAGTCTTGAACCTATCACATGAACCAAGTATCTCCCCCTCAACTACACTACTCATAACCCCCAGGCGCATCAATCTTTAGCGTCCCGCCCTTCCCATCCAAACTCCCCACCTCCGCACTAAGTCTAACCTTGACATTCCTACTCTCCCTCTTCTTGGCCTCCAAGCTCCTCAAATCCTCAAACCGTTCCCTCGCATCCTCATCAAGACCATGGAACAACATGGCCAGCGCGCTCGTCTTCCACAAACTCGCCCCGCTCCGCTTCGTCTCCCAAGCCGCCAACCCCAAGAAAATCGCAGCCAGGATCACCGCCGTGACAGGCAGCGCCACGAAGCCCCACCTTACCGACACGAACGTTTCATAACTTAAGGAAGTGCCGTTTATGGGTACCCCGACCAAAGTCCGGAAAGTGGACGTCAAAGAAATGGCTAGGTCGGACATGAGCATCTCCAACCCCTTTTGCGGGTTTGAGGGGGCCGGGTATTCGTAATAGTTCCAGTAAAAAGCTTGGACGATGTCTGTGTCGAAGAACGTTTCTCCCGAGGAAATACCGACGGTGAGGTTGACGACGACGTTGGGCGAGGAGTTCAAGGAAGGTAAGTCGGAGATGGTCTGGTTGATGTATTGAGAGTTACGGGAGGCGGTGCCGTTGGCGAAGAGGCGCGAGAACCAGGATTGCATGGCCAGGATCGATTCCATGGACATGCTGTAAACCAAAGAAGAGTTGGTGGGGGATTGGATCGTTAGGGGTTCGAGTGCGTTGATGCTGCCGGCGAGGGAGGTGAGGGAGGGGACGGTGTCGTTTGTTAGTGGCTCGGTGATGTGCGACTCGTGCAGAAAGCCGTTGGTTATGTTTGACGACAAGGTCTGCAGGCAGACGGTCAAAGAGCATTGGGTTGCCCATGGTGCTAGGACGCCAGGACCCGTGGCGTTGGTTTCGGTGCCCATGAATATGAGCTTCATTATCGTGCTGTACGTGCTGTCGCTTGTGGAGGAGGACCCTGGGAAAAGGGAGGTCATGCCGAAGACTTCCGCCGAAGAATTGAGCCTTGCGGCGCCAGAGGGCAGCTGCCAGCCACAGTCGGCTTCGTTCGAAACGCCAGGGGGACAATACCGCGTCATATACTCGCTCATATCGACGCACTTTTGGCAGACCCCCAATGTCTCAATGGGCGGAAACGTGCAGTTGCCCGTGGAACAACTAAACGGCAATCCCATCCACGGCCTGCCATCTTCCGCGAAGAGACCCTTATACACAGCCGCCTTGATGGGTAAGATGGGCACGAACGCCTGCCCGAGTTTTTCCTGATTTCCATGCAATGCCAGTCCGTACGCTTCAGTCCGATAATTAACCGCCCCTGCCATCTCACTGCCATCCCCACCGGGCTTCTGCTCAACCAGCCTCGTAGGAAATGTCGCAATCTGCTGCGCAAACGGACTCAAGAAAAGCGCAACGATCATCACCACCGCGCCAAAACTCCCCGCGAACCCGCCCCTTGCCTTAACAAGCATGTTCACCGCGCCGAAAGCGCCGCGGGAGGCATCATCGTAGATCTCCATATCACTGAGGGGAGCCCGGCCTTGCTTGAAACGAATCCATTTAAGCTGACCCAGTCCGCCGGAAAGCGGGACGCTCATGCTGGCTGTTGCGACAGTCGCTAAGATGGCAATGACGGCGTTGAGCGTGATCCAGTGCGGCCACGAAGGTAGAGGTTGGCCGTCGTAGGTGGCGAGGACGGCGATGATGGAGGCTACGGCTCCCAGGGCGACGAACATGCTGATGGTTTCGTAGGTCCAGGTGCCGTTTTTGGAGAAGATGGCGGAGAGTTTGTCGGATTTTAAGGAGGAGGTGCTCATGGTTGATTGCCGGTTGGTATTATGGCCTTGTTGCTGCTTTTCCCAGGAGGCGGGGGAGGCGGACATGGGAGAGACGGAGAAGGTGGTGGCTTGTTTGGGGTCGGGGGGGAACATGAAGCCTTCTTGTCCGTGTCCCTGGGCGACATGGTATTGCTGGCCTTCAAGGGGTACTTGTTGGATGCCGCCGCCCTCAAACTGTCCCTGGGGGTTTTGGTAGTCGCCGTTGTTATACTGGTAGTCATAGTATTGTTGCTGTTGCTGGTCAGCACCGACGTAGAGAGGCTGTTGTTGATGGGCTCCTGGATGTATTTGATCTGGTTGTTGAGGAACGGCGCCGCCGGCAGGATATGGTAATGGTAGGCTGTTGATATCAACATATTGGAAGGACTGCCTGCTGTCGTTGTTTTCATGCTGAGGCTCTACGCCCGCTGTGAGAGGAGTCAAGCTGTCTGCGCTTATCACGCGTTCATGGCGGACTGGATGATATCCGGATGTCATGATGGCTTCGGAGTGTCCCTGTTAGGAACGAGGACGAGGAGAAAATTGAAGATGATAAGGCACAGCACTTGGTAACCCTCCCGTGGGACAAGACGCCCAGTATCAAACAACAGTCCCTGTGTAAGGGATATAGAGGCTGTACCGTGTGGTATCAAGTAGTAGTAACAGAAGAAGAAAGAAGAAGAAACATTCTCTCAAGAGAACGGAAGAGGAAGGCAGACCAGACCACACTTTTGTATCCAGTTGCATCACAGTCACACTCATCCGCCCCCAGCCTCAAGTGATAGTGAACGGCCTAAACAGGCACCGAAAAGAAATTCTCGCATCTTGGCAAGTAGCAATCTTGTAACCTAAACGAGCTACATCGTCAATAGTATCCTTCAGGTTTTCGTCCTTTGCTGTCACCCATCCATCCATCCATCCATCCATCCATCCATCCATCCATCCATCCATCCATCCATCCATCCATCCATCCATCCATCTATCAGACTGAACCAGTCGAAGGACTCGAAGGGACGTTGTTGATCTCCATACCTCTAGTAGGTAGGTGATATCCCCACTCGGAAGGGAAGGGTTGATATCCCGCTTGAGTAGTAATTGACCCCCGCAACAGAGTGGTATCAATCCAACTGTGGGCGGGCGGTGTCTCTTTGGACTTGCTCGGTTGACTTGCAATGGAGACTTGGATGGAAAAAGTGGAAAGGTGGTGTGCCCGATATCTTACCTACCGGTCCAACTAAAATCCAACCTAGCTTAGCTAACTGCGCGTAAGAAGTTGGTGTGATGTGAGCAAATTGGTGGCCTGGCCTTTGTAGTAAGGCTCGCCCCATCAAAAAAGAATGTGTGTGGTCCGCAGAAGTGAGGTGTGGTCAGAAAAAAAAAAAAAAAAAAAAAAAAACCTAGCAAGAAAACCGGTATTCGTACAAGAGTTGGTGAGAGTTACACTTCTAGCGCACTACCTAGGTCTAGATTAGCGGGCGCGGCGGCGGCTAAGGTAGCGGGGAGGGACTGCCGCAACTGCACTGCACATTAAAAGCTGCGCCACGGTCTCGCAGGAAGGTGCATTGAGCATTCAGGCTGCATCGCGGCTGTCGTTGCACGACGGCTTCTTTTGCCTTTTTCTTAGTCTGCTGCTGAACATCTGATCATGCAACCTCCAATGATAGATTGCATGGTTCGGAGAACACCCAAGCGAAAAACTTGTGTTGAACGGACTGCCAGGGTCGGGGCTGAAGATAGCGGCGGACTTTACTTGACTTGTTGTATTATTTTGAGGTTGGGTTGGGGTTGTCGTCGGCTAATGAACGATAGGTATCAAAATGAGCTTTTGGAGGGAAAAGGCCTTCGGTGATGTTTCTGGCGAGCGACTACGGTCGGGGTTTTTGCTAGTTCCTTCGTTCAACAGAGAGATTGGATGTCATGAAATGGTACGGTATCGTGACACGTAAATTCCTGCCGCCATTTTTCGACTGTGAAGGAAAGGGCTTTCTTCCTTCCTTCCTCGAAAAAGCGATGGATGGAAGTCATCAGCTAGCCTACCCAGAGCCTTGTATCTCCCATCGTCCTACCCATCACCATCAACACCATCATTCGGTAGACCAGCCACTTACAACCTCACAACCTTCTGTCCGGCCTATAAGTCCTTAACAGACCAACACCCGCGCCGCACACTTGGGCTGACGACCGACATCATCGTACTTCATCGGCTCTTTTTTTGTACCGGCCTGGCCGACCTGTTGTGCAATTGGAAATATACCTATACATACATATGTATGGTAAGAGGTGACACAGCGTCTCGTCTTCCTCGCATCCCTCACGTAAAGCATGTACTGCAGATGTCGGGGGCGGTTTGAATATTGTTCTGTCGAAGTCGAAAAACGCTTGAGGGTAGGTCGGCTCCGGTAGGGCTGTAATAGAAGCTTTTTTGCCACCGTCCCTTTCTCTTGGTTAGGTGTGTGATTGGTCGTAGCATATCTTGACTTCTCCAAGCTTTCTTGACTTTTCTTGACTCTTTCTCAAGCTTTCTAACTTTCCCTAAGCTTTCTCACTTCGCTTCTGGGCTACCTACTGGAGGTTTAGGTGGGTCTGGAGCTGAACTAACGTGGCAACAGGCGAATCTTACGCCAAGAACACCTACCAGGCTTTCAACATTTTTCAACCATCCCGACGGTGATTATCATGGGTCCAGATTAGGTACCCAGATTCCAAGCCAGACTCCATCCAACATGCTGGTTGGTGATGGGTCGTTGTGGTTGTGGTTGTCGTTGTAAAGGTGGTTGTCGTTGTCGTTGTAAAAGTGAGAAAAATAAAATAAAAATTGGTGATTGGGCCTTCTGCCGAAGACAGGCGAGACAGGACGGGATCGGAACCTTCCAAAGGCGGGGGGCTATTTATAGAAACAGAGGACAGTTGACGCTGATTGGGCCGAAAATACCTAAAAACCCAAAGGTTGAACAACAATGTCATTTGTTGAGGCTGACGGGGGACTGGACTCTTGATGGTGGGTGATACCTCTCATGTTCCCACATCTGATGTGGACGAGGTGCAAATGTGCCGACGAGGTAACAAAGAAGAAAACGAGTGCTTCGATCAGTTATTATCAATTCATCATTTCGAAAGCAATACTGTATGTAAATCTCCTTTCTTTTAGTTCGCTACCTATAAAAGGTAGCTAGTCGGCCACTTATAATGAACCTCAATCAGAGTATCATGAGCTGGTACTGCCTATTGGTAGTTCCATGCCCTGCCGGTACTAACTAACTAGGTAGCTAACTTCCATAATCCGGTCCTCGTTAGAGGTATCTGAAGCAAATATGCTATAGCTCAATAGCTAAAAAGCCCAGCTCAGCTCAGTTGCCCTAACTATCTAGAACCAAACTTTTGAAATCGCAAGACAGGTTCAGCCAGCGAGGCTTCCTCCAGTCATCTCAACAATCTACGTAGCCATGTAGCGTAAAAACCATCTCGCATCCAGTCCATCAACTTTTCCTGCGCCTGCCTTAGACTTTTGGTTCCATATCTCCCTCTATAACGTAACCTGTACAGTAATAATCCACCACCACATAAACCATATGATATGGAATGGAATGGAATGGGAGTTCTAGAATGACCATAAACCATTGACTCCCATCCTCCAATCCATTTATTCAGATCCGAGATGATACTTTCTCTCAAGCAAGCAAGCGAGATACTTGCCCTCCCAAAGGCCGCTCAAAATGGTGTGAAACAAATCACTCATGTAGATGCCGATGGCAAACGAAGAGCAAAATGCCGCTCTCATAGCCACTCCCCCTTCAGTCATGCTCAAGGCTCCTTGTATGGTCGTATGACCATCCATCCTCTCCATCAAGTTGGAGATATCTTTTGTTCGCCCTCTCAATATGGTGAAGCAAATCACTTGGAAGCCGCCAGCATCAAAAGAGCCATGGCACCTTCAAGATCGTCAGCATCACGCTCCTCCTGGTTTCTGTGCTTGTCGTCAAAATCCTGAGGCAAACCCCCCTCTCTAAGCGAAGGGCCGGTGCCAGTGCCAGCATCCGGCTCCTGGCTTCCATGGCAGTCGTCCCGAGGCAAACCGCCCGCTCTAAGCGAAGGGCCAGTGCCAGTATCCTGCGCCTGCTGGCTCTTCTTCCACTCCCAGCTACCCTGCAAAAAGCCCTTTTCATAGACAATCGGAGTAAGAATGGGGGTACCAATTGTAGCTCCGGCCGAATTGTGTTGTCCTCCTCCCTAAGCAGTCCCAACCGTCACCGTCGTCGCCGTCATAGCCGCCGCCTTCTCCTTCTGCTCCATCGCCGTAGTGAAAATACGCTGCCAGACCTCCAGCCAGCGCTCGTGCTGGGCCGTGGGGAGCTTGCCAGGGTTCTTGAAGCTGCGGGCCATCATCTCCTTGAGTCTCGTGCGCAACATCTTGACGACCAACATGGTCTTCCAGTCGGACACGGCGAAGCGGGCGCGGTTGCCGTCGAGGACGAGCACGCCCGAGTACATATCGGCACGAACGTCGCCGCAGAGGAGGGCGACGGCAAAGGGGTCCACGGCCGTGGTTTCGTGGGCGTTGTAGACGCTTCTGTTGAATGTTAGTATGTTGCCTTCAAAAGTGAAAAGAGGGAAAAAGATGGAACATACCCCTTGGTCTGCATAATGTTGTAATAACTCAACCACTTGAGCTCGTTATGGCCCTTGTTGACACTGCTAGGATGCAAGCTAATATTCTGGTTGTTGCCAACGTTGCGCAGGCCCTTACTGCCGGGTGTATCTCTAACCAGAAGCTTGGGGTAGAAACTCCAAGCGATGACCGACTGACAAATCATCTCATTGTCGCTGTTAATGTTGACACGCTGAGGCACCTCGAAAAAGATCTGGTGCCGACGTTTTCCACCAAACCGGAGCCTGTTAAGCACCTGGCGCTCTTCGGTGGTCAGCTGGAGGAAGCCGGAGTCGGCAACAGACACGAGCAGCTGGCCCTTGAGATCCTCAATATTCGCCAGAGTCTGGGGCGAGAGGAAGTTCTTCCGGCAGTACTGGAACTCGGCACCGCCGCTGGTTGACGACTGGCACACACGCTTCCACGACTGGTACGCGTTGTAGACGGTGAGTAGATCAGAGTCACCCTTGCGGAAACCCATGCGAACAGTGTTCGCTTGTTGACGTTGTCCGAAAGGCGCAACAAAGGGTGACTTGGAGGAAAGAATGGCAGCCACAGTAAGAGCCATATCGAGACACTTGAAGATAGCACCAAGAAGGATCAGCTTGCCTAAGAACACGTCAAGCGGCAAGCGGGCCAGCTGGAGACCAAGTGGCGTAAGCTCTTCCGATGAGGCTGTAAGAGCACGAACATCGACAAGGGCATCGATGGCACGACGAATATTCTTCGCGGAAGGCGGGTCGAGCGCCTCGCCCAGGGTATCCTCGATACCACCAATCTTGCAAATCTTGACACGAATAGCAAGATCCTGCAAGGAAAGACGCAGCATTTCGGGAGTTTGCTGGTCGCTCATGATGTTGTCATGGCGATGCTTGGTGAACATGTGGAAGCAGAGACCTTCCTGAACACGACCGGCACGACCACGACGCTGCTTGGCGTTGGCCCGCGAGATGAAGGTATCAATCAGCCGGGACAGCTGTCTACGCTCGTCGAATCTCATCTCACGATGCTTGCCAGTGTCGATAACGCAGGTGACATCGGGAATGGTAATACCAGTCTCAGCAATGTTGGTAGCCAAGACGATCTTCCTCAAACCAGGAGGAGGCACGAGGAAGGCGGCTTCCTGGTCCTCGGTAGCAATAGTCGAGTGCAACGGGTAAACCAGCCAGCTATCGGCAAAGGATTTGTCGCCGAGCAGCATGTCGTTGAGTGTCCTGATTTCGGCAATACCAGGCAAGAAGACCAGGATGGCTTTGCTGAAATCGACGTAGTCAGGATGGGTTGCGATCGTAGAGATCAGCTGAACAATCAGATCAAAGTCGATCTGGTACTCGTCGATCTGCGCCAGTGTGTTGCGAGTTCTGTTGGAGTAGTTCTTGAGAGACTGAATCAGCTCAGGCTTGGAAGAGGTATCGACCTCGGCATCCGCGTCGTCGTCCAGTTCAGTAAGTTTCGATGCCACAGGGTTGCGCGCGTCGAGAGTATATCCAGTCAACTCGACGGCATCTTCAAGGTAGGCGACCTTGACGGGGAAGGTTCGGCCGGGAACGTTCAGAACTGGTGCTCCGCCGAGATAGTTGGAGAAACGCTCAGCATCAACGGTGGCTGACATGAGAACCACCTTGAGATCCTTTCTCCGGGCGAGCAACTTCTTGAGAACGATCAAGAGGAAATCACTGTCAATGGAGCGTTCGTGGACTTCGTCGAGAACCAGATGGGTGATCTCGTTGAGGTCGTTAGAGCCCTCCAACATGCGCATGACGATACCAGTGGTAGCGTAGACAAGGCGAGTCTCCCTGGAAGTGTTTGCCTCGAGACGGATCGAATAACCCACCAGAGACCGAGGTGTTCCAAGATCACCCCTGCCCTCACCAATTTCCTCGCTGACTCTCTTGGCCAAAGAGATGGCCGAGATACGGCGAGGTTCCGTGCAGTAAATCTTGCAGTTTCTGCCCTTCAAGAGCTGATCCTCAAGCAAGAAAGAAGGGACCTGGGTACTCTTTCCGCAACCAGTCTCACCGCAGATGATGACCACCTGTTCTCTCTCGACAGTGTCGACAACCTGTTGCCGGAACTGCCACATGGGAAGCTGCATGCGAGACACCAACATCTGTTGGTACCTAGGTGTGCTGGCCTTTTGCAACCAGATTCTCTGGTAATACTCGGGGTCCTGGGCGTTGCGCTTTGCCCGTTCTTGGTCAGACTCAGAGTCTGTCTGGTTCCGGGATTGACCACGGCCCTTGAAAGCACCCTGGATGATGACACCGTCCTCCAATTCCTGGTCCATCCGCTTCCGAACGAGATCGCGCAAGTGTTTCACGACCGCGCGATCTGCCTCGTCAGCCTTGCTCTTCCTGGCTTCGGCCATTTCTGACCAAAGATCCTTCCAGGCGACAGGCAGCCTCATGGCCACCTTTTCTTCCTTGGCTGAAGAACTAAAGATGAGGAACAAAGCGATCGTTGCAATGTATGCCTCGGACTGCTTTGCATCAGGCGTGGCAATGGATACCATCTTGAACACAAACTGGGTGGGCGTCGTGAAGACTTCGATGTCGTCCGAGTCCGGAGGAGCGGGGATCTCCTGGGGCTTAGACCAGAGGATCTTGACCGCGTGCTTGCTGGCAAAGGAAACATCCGACAAAATATGATACGAGATCTTAACAGAATTGTCCCGGGACCGACAAGCCTCCTCTAGGGCACGCATTGGGCTCACACCAGTCCATTTTCCAAAGTCCCTGATCTGAGTCTTGGAACCATCGGCGTTGTTCATGACTGTGTTGGTCTTTCCGGTCGTCGGGTCCACCTCATTAACGGGAAGACTGGCGAACATGCCGGCAAGACCCTCATCATCGTCATCGGGGTTTTCGGCAAGAAGCTCTGCCGCCATGCGCTCAGCTTCGGCGGCAATATCATCCGCCTCAGTTGGAGCAGGAGTTTCGGCTTGGGCCTCCTCCTTCTTCTCCTCCTCTTCCTCCACGATCTTCTTTTTATTTGCCGCATAATCTTTTTCCAGGTCGATCTTCATGTCTCTCCATTTTTGCTCAGCAACATACTTGTCGAATAGGATATCCTTTTCGACGCGCTCGATCTTGGCTAACAGAAGGGCCTCCTCGGGATCACTCGGGTTTGCCTCGGCCTTGCTCTTTTTACCCTTTGCATTATCCAAGCGAGGACGTTGGATCTCGAAAAGTTTGGTCTTTGTTTCGAGGTAAAAGGGGAGCAACTGATCCGGCTCGATATATTCGTCAAAGATGACCTTTGACCGTTTCGGCGAGGGGGCTCGGGATGGCCGGGAGGTGATGTTTTTGCCCTTTTTGCCGCGCGGGCCTAGCTCGGGAAGCTGGGGAGTGACTGCGCCGGACGGTAGAGGAGTTTCTGAAGGCGTGTCTGCAAAGAATATTGTTAGGTCAATGTCATGAGAGATGCGCGTATGGCGGCGCCCACGTACCTGTCTGCGACTTCTTTGCGCGCCCACTGTAATCAGGCAGCTCCTCCTTGGAACACTCTCTCGCTAGCCAGTCCAGAACTTCGTCGAGGCCCCAAATGGTGTCACTCCTTGCCGTAGCGGGGATATTAGGAGCAATGTCCAAGACGAACTTCAAAGCGGGCTGGATCTTTTCTTGTGGGAAGTCGGCGCCTCCGAGGGTCTCCTGGAGGGTCCATAGCTTGATGATGAGGTCGTCCTCTGGGGGCAATCTGCTAGATGCGCCCTCGGAAGTAAGACTCGAGGCAGCAAAACGACTCTCGGCTCGGACAAGATCCATAAGATCGTCCATCAACTCTTGGGGTAACCACTTTTTCGCATTGATGGAGTCGGCCTGACCTCGTAGCAGGCGCCTGTCGGTCTCTAGACGGGTCTTTTGGCGCAGCGCATCTCGGCGCACCTTGGGCGCATACTTCTCGACCAGCAACTGCAACGCGGACTCTTCCAACTGTTGTTCGAACTCTTCGGGGCTCAAGGTCTTTTCTGGCACAGCCTTGGCGGCCTCTGTAGGAGCGGTAGTTCCGTTCGTCGCGGGGGCGTCTTTGGATGATTGGGCATTGGCCTTGCTCGTATCGGTGTTGTTGGGTTTGACTGGCGTAACGTCTTCGGCGACCTCTCTCGGCTTGGAAGGAAGAGACGTGGTAGCGAAACCACGGGCTGGGTTGGCCGCGGGCTTCTTGGACTTTTTCTTGCCAGCCATGGTGCTGCGAGTTCGTTCTCGGTATGATCCCTCTCTTTCAGGTCTCTTTGTGATTGTAAGTAGGCGGGCGTTATTGTAGGTGGTGTAGTTGGATATCAAGGCGGTGATAGAGACCTGAGAGGAGTCGACCGAGAACAAGAAGGCAAGGTATAGCAGTCGTAGAGATAGCCCTAATAGTAGTTGGTTTACTGTGCAAGGAGAGAAAGGGTCGAGTAGCGCAAGAACTTGGAGGACAATGGCATAAGAATAACTGGAGCCCTTGGTGGGCAAGTTGGCAAGTGGAGGTTCCTCTTTGCTGTTTTAGCTTTTGGGGACTCGGAGTCGCCCCAGACTCGGTTTGGTACCTGATTTCTGGACTTGGAGGCGGACCTTGAAGATGGTCTGCGCAAAGGTTCAATGTTGCGAGGGTTGTTGTGTACTGGGGTAACTCCGGAAACTGAGGCTGTTGATAGGTTTGATTTCAGTTTGGAACCTGGATATGTGGTGATCTGGTGAATTTTATGGTTGAGCCCAACCTGATCTTGAAGCTTGTTGCCGTTGTGACTGTTTGGGTTGTTGTGATAATAACAAAGTACCGCCGGCTGTGATATGACAAAAGCGACACCCGCGACAGGACTGACGCAGTCACCCTTAGGCACAGGCTGCTGTCCGCAGTGGTCCCCCAGTCCCCAGTCCCGCTGTCGTCGGTGACCGTTGTTAGCGCAGCCCACCGTGGGAGCTTCTTCTTGGCCGCTGGCAGTGGCTGGGCAGAAAAATATCGACCGCCTTCTGTTTTCAGAGAGCTGACCCCGCCGTGTCCATGGGACAGCAACTTGGACGAGTGTGATAATTTGACAGTGTCCAAGCACTGGTATCTCGTCGCGTGCCTGACAGGAGCAAGATGGGGGGAGCTGTCCGTCAAATGCAGGTAGCAGAAGAAAATATGAAGATGACAAATTACCAAAGAAAAGAACGGAAAGACACCAGCTCGGTTAGTTCGACGTCAGTTCCTGTGAAAATAAGTTGTTTGATTTGTTGTTGTTGTTGTGGTGGTAAGGTAGCTTGAGCTTCACTTTGTTTTGAATGAAGCCGGCGCTGTTTTTGGAGAAAGTTGACTGTGCTGTGTGCTGTAGTGCAGTGACAAAAACGCAAAAGAGGAAGGTGGCACAGTTTCAATAGTCTAATGTTAGCCTCTTCGCTGGAGGAGAGGACGACAGGGACCCTGCCGCTGGGACAAAATGGACAAAGTGGGGTCAATATTTTCTGGGGGCAGGCCAAAGTGGGTTTCCCAATCGCATCGCAGACTGGGAGAGGACGGGAGGAGGAGCCTCACCACCAACGGAAAACAGTTCTACGCCAGAGTAGACTGTAGTTCTAGCTCTAGGTACCACCACCACACCACCTCATCCTACATCACCAACCGGCCTACCTACCGCATCCTTAGGTCAGGTACCTACTACTTCAACACCTCTACGACCTCGGACCAACAAAAGAAGAGGAGGAGTGACATTTCATAACTCCAGTCCGGTCCATTGTTGTCGAAGGAATTCGAACATCACCAAACGACGAAAAGAAAGAAGAGGTTGCTTTGCGCCAACCCTCGACGACGACAACGAGCCACTATCCCGAGTCCCCCGTTGCTCGACCATGTCCCGTTAAGCCTCGACCCCCATATTAGAGACTTCAACAAACAATACCTACCTACCCGACATCATGTCCGAAGACGCCGCCTCCCCCGCCGCGAGCACCCCCAACAATGCGCCCGCCGACTTCCATCTCGTAGCCGCAAAGGCTGCCCTTACTTCCTCGTCTACCACTGCGCGGATTTCCCAGTTGCGCTCCATCGAGGAGAAGATTTCCCAGAAATGTGAGAGGCCAAACACCCACAGCTATAGCTTCGGCAGCAAGACACTACAAGCTAGTTTGGCTACATAAATGAAATTCAAGATCAACAGGCTAACTCTCTGCTTCTGCGCCCTCTCTTGCCAGCCCTCGACCGACCAACAACCCTCGGCGTCCTCAAGGTCCTCTTCTGGACCCATGACTTCTACCATGATCGCCCTTCTCGTACCGCCGTACAAAAGTGCTTGACAGCCCTCGCCAACAACGGAGAGCCCGAAATCCTTACGCCTCTGGTCGCCGCTATCGGCCAGGAAATCAAGAAGGGTGCCATTGCGCCTGGCAGTGCCTTTACCTTGCTTGAATGGTCCAGCTTGTTGGTTCAGAACTTTGCCGGCACTCCTCTATGGGACAAGTTTGGAAAGGACCTCACCCTTTACCTTGCTGAGGCTCTGGAAAAGTGCTGCCAGCCTGCTTCGAGGGGAACCGTCAGCAAGTCCGCCCTCGTCATCACTCGCCGCGCCCTGAGGAAACTGGTTGCTGGAGATGATAGGGAAAAGGCTATTGAGGAGGCTGTCAAGGCTCTTGCTGCCAAGGGAACCGCGTCCACGGCCAAGTATGCTGTCCTGCTCGGTGTCATTGCTGGCGTCTGCTCTAGGAAACCAGAGGCCGTTGCCATCATCGAGAAGCTCAAGAGCCAGTACTTTACCTTCTATACCCGCGAAATTGTTGGTTCCAGGACACAGGTCCCTACACACCAGGCGGCTGCCTTGTCCGATTTCTTCTCGAGCTTTGTCACTCTGGAGGATCTTGACAAGGAGGTCTTCCCGTCGTTGGAGAAGGGTCTGCTCAGAGCCCCTGAAGTGGTGTTGAACGACCTCATGACTCCTCTTGTCGGTGCCCTGCCACAAGACTTCGATCTTTCCGCTGCTTTGAGCGGACGCTTTGTCAAGCCTCTTCTCAACAACATCAAGTCTTCCAATGCCGTCATTCGCAGCGGCGCTGTCACCGTCTTCAAGGGCCTCGCTGCCCGCAGCAAGGACTCTGCCCTTTTGGAAAAGGTGGCTGATGAGGTTCTCAACCCACTAAAGACTGGCAAGCTTGCCTCTGCTGATCACAGAGTCCTTCACTCCGAGATGCTTGTTGCTTTGGTTGTTTCTACTGGCATTGCCAACAAGATTGCCAACGGCCTCCCTCTGGTAACAGGAAAGGAAGGTAACGAGGCAGCCTTGAGTGCCGAGACCCTTGCTCTCAATGCCAGCGCAGTCTATCTTTTGAATGCCGGTGAGGAGGTACCAAAGACTCTTGCTGATGCCTACGTCAAGGGGCTCGGCGAGAAGAAGCTGCCTGTCAGGCGCATCTGGATCCTTCGCGCTGGTGACATTCTCTATGCCTTCAACAAGGAGAGTCAGGAGACACTGCCCGCCAACTTCGTCAAGTTCGCTGAGGCTCTTGTCACTCCTCTCGGAGCCACTTTTGCTGAGGTTGTTGCGAACCCTGCGACTGCTGCTCAAAATGGTACTGTTACCGGCGCTCTTGTTCTTTGCGCTGTCGAGTCTTTGATCCGGAGGGCGGAGAGCTCCACCTTCGAGGCCGTTTACAAGAAGGCCAATATTCAAAAGAACAGTTTGGCCATCACCCCTAAGCCTTCCTACCTTTTCAACCCCAGGATATACGGCAAATTTGCCGATGAGGATCTCAAGTGGCTGACCCGCGCCTTGGTTGCTGTTGCGCCTTTCATCGGCAGCATCGGTCTCCCAGAAAGGGTTGCCTGGGCTCAGGCTTTCATCTACGTGATCAGCTCAGCTGCCACTAGCCCCGAGGTCCGCCGCGACGCCATTGACACTCTTTCCACCCTTTATGCCCAGTCTTCCGCCAAGGCCGAGGGCTCATCGTCTCTCCTCACCGAAACCATTGTGGAAGGTCTTTGGCACTGGATTGAGGCAACCGAGTCAGCTGACAAGGAAAGTGCGGCGGCTTTGGCCAAGTCGGGAACTTCCAACCTCCATCTTGTCCTCAAGGCTATCTGCTTGAAGCCGGAGGAGTACCAGAAGCGCGCTGGCGCGGAACCTGACAAGACCAAGCTCGAATCCCAAATGTGCTCTCTCCTTGTTCTTGCCAAGTCGCAACTCATTCCCAGAGCGAGCTGGATCGATCTCTGCTTGAAGGTCGAGACCGATCCCGGTGAGCTTGCCAGGAAGTATGAGCAGCGCTTGCTCGATGAGATTGTCAACAGGACCCTCTACGAGCAAAAGTCTGAGACGGTGCGCCTGGCGGCCTACAGCGCTGCTGCCGAGCTTGTCTTCGTTGCCCCCGAGACTATGACTCCCCGGATTGTTGACCTCATCCAACAAAACCTAAACGTTTCCGAGGTTCAGTCCGTTGGTCCCCTCGAGGCGGCCATCTTCCGTACCCCTGAAGGAACCGCCTTCGTCGATGTGTTGGCCAAGAAGCAAAACGTTGTTCCCAACAAGAACAATCCCAACTACCACACCCTTAAGTGGGAGGAGGAGCTTCGTGAGCAGATTGCTGCGAAGAAAGGAGTTCAAAAGAAGCTTACTGCTGAAGAGAACGCCAAGGTCAATGCTCAGCTCAAGAAGGAGGCTGAGATCCGTGAGAACGTCAGGCACGTCGCTGCCAACCTTTTGCGCGGCTTTGGCATTGTCAAGGCTCTCGCTACCGGTCCTCCCACCGACGCCAGCCGCTGGATGGGTCCCGCCGTCAAGGCTACCCTTAGTGTCATCAACGCTGGTGCCACTTTGATCACCGGTGAGGCCGGTCCTCTGGCTTTCATCTCCTGCTCAGAGTGCGTCACGTCTCGCGTTGGCCCTATCCGCCCCTTCATTGGTGTCGCTACCCTCAGGGCGCACAATGTTTCCGCGCTCCCCAAGAACCTTACCGAGGAACCTTTTGAGGATCTTATCACTCGTGCGCTCTACCGTCTCAGGTTCGCCGGTGAGCAGCGCCCCTTCGATGTCATCTCGCTCATCTACATCCTCCCGCTCATCCTCCTCGTCCTCGAAAAGGGCGGCTTCGGTTCTACTGCCGATGATAAGGATGCCACGCTCGTCCTTGCCATTGAGTTCCTTTCCTTCCACACCGATGTCTATGCTGATGAGGCTACCCCTCGTGCCGAGATCCTTTCTACTCTGATCAGCTCGATGCAAAACTACAATCAGCAC